TAGAACAGGGAGAAAGGAACCCAGAAATGCCTCTTGGTGGAATCCTGGGTGTCTGTTATCTCCATCTGGGCATCCCAAGCTTCCTGTTGGCTCAGGTGTTGCTAAGCAACAGTCTTTGGATTTCAGAAGAGACAGACGGGAGAAGGAGGGAGGGGGGCGATTGAGAGGAGACAGACTGGGAGTGGTTCAGACAGTGCCCATGTTCCCTTTCTGAGTGCTACAGATGACCAGCAGTCTCAGCAAGACCACAAAACTCTGGGACAATTTGGGGCCGTCCTAGGGTGCTCAGAGAATACTGTCCCATAAATCGTGTCACTTCTCAGGGCTGCAGTTCCTCATCTGTAAAAGGAGTCTGAGGCGGCTATGTGTCTGTCATCAGATGCTCTCAGACTGAGTCTATCCTTAAAGAGTTAAATCTGATGGCTCTTGAGGCTTGTGGGAGAGGCAGTATTCTCTGTCCTAGACTATCTATCAGTCATTTAATAGGACAGAATGCCAGAGTGAGGAGGAAGATTGTCCAGTCAAACCTTTTCCTTTTATACTAGGGAGAAACAGAGGTCTGAAGGAAGGGGTGGTGGTGTTAAGCGACTTGCCCAGGGTCACACAGATAATGGCAAAGCCAGGATGAAGGCTAGGCCCATTGGCAGTAGAAAGAACAATGGATTTGGAGTCAGAGGACCTTAGTTTAAATATTGCCACTGATGATTATTGGACAAGTCACTGAACCTCCCTGGGCCTCAGTTTCCTCATCTGTAAAATGAAGAGGACTTTGGACTAGATGCCTTCTGAGGTCCCTTCCAACTCTAGTTCTATCAACCTGTTATCCGGAAGGAAGCAGGAGGGATAAGGATTTTGGACTCCTGGGCTTTCTTCTGACCTAGCCTAGGTCCGGTTCCAGAATTTTCTCCCCTTTTCTGGAGCTCTCACGAGGGAGAAGTTGGCCAAATCTCCCTTGCTGAGTCATGGAGGGGAGGGGCAAGCTAGGGCAAGCAGCCTGGCACAATTGCTCTGGGCATCTTCCCTCATTCCCCCTCTCCAGAGCTAATCCTACCCCCTGACTCAGATGCCTGTGACCCCATAAGAATTTTGGAGTCAGGATTGAGGGGAGGGGCAGGAGGTGTGGCATGTGAGAAGAGGAAGGCTATTTGAGGGGAGCCTTGGTGTGCCCTGTTTCTAGCTGCCAGAAGTGTGCCCCACTCCCTTACTCATGACCCCGAAATTGCCTCCGGCACTCTCCCTCCTCCTTTCAACCTAAATAGCTGAATCTTGGTCTTCTCAAGGGTCTCTGAGGGCTTCTCCCACTGTTGCCCATTTTATGGAGTACACTGGGCCCTGGCAGTCCCAGAGTGATAAAATCCTGGATCATTGGAGCTGGAAGGGACCATAGAGATCACCTACTCCAATGCCCCCCCCTTTTTCCAGAGGAAGAAACTGAGGCCAGAGAGGCTTAGTGATTTGTGAGTGTCAGAGCCACGATTCCAATCCAGATCAGCTTGTCAAGGCTTCCACTGGGGGGTGATGCAGAAGGAGCCACCAGCTTGGCCACAGACAAAGTAGGGAGAGGAGGATGTTTGTCATTACTCTTTCTCATCATCTCTGCCCTGCGCTTGCCCCTAAATGGTCCACTGCTGATCAGTGACTTCCCTTTGATTTTTATCTGCCTATTTCATGTAGGTGAAACTTAGTTCTCTGGCTAGATCCCGAGGTCCCAGGCAGGGCCAGAAAGGATTCTTCTCTGGCTAGCCTGGGCACATAAAATACCCAATGGTTGAATGAGTAAATGAATAAATGAATGAACCAAGGAAAGCCTTAGTCATCTGCCATCAGAACAAAACTAACATCAGTGGGAAGGTGAATCAGAGAGAAATTCATCAGCTGCTGCCTATGTCTGCTGCCTCCCTACCCTGAGGCCTTCCATTGTTAACTGAAAGAATCAACCTAGGTCTTTATAACATCTAGCCTAAATGTTCAAGGGCATTTGGGAGCTGGCTCACTGGCTCCCCTTTGTTAAATTTTCAGTGTGAGCATTTATACCTGGGAAATCAGCAAAAGCTGCAAATCAGAGTTTACTTTGTTGGCTGGTGATTGTCTAGTCTTAAGAAAGTGATGGAAAGGATGTTAATAATGCTCCAGTAATAATATTATTATTTAGCAAACTTAATAAACTTGAAAGTGTATCAGACCTACACCTTCCCTTCCCCAGCTGAGACCTGGTTGTTAAACACTTATCACACTCCTGCTTCTACCTGTTACTCCTGGTTCTGCCCGTATGGAAGCCCTTCAGATACTTGAGGACAGATCTCATGCCTCTCCCTAAGTCTTCTCTTTTCCAGGTTGAACGTCCCCTACTCTGTGAAGTGATCCTTATGGGACAAGACCCTCCAGCAGCCTGGCAGCCCAATTCTAGGCCCTGCTGGCAGCAAGTGGCAAAGTGCCCCCCCCAGCTGTTCCTGCCATGCCCAGGAGAGGGAGGGAGAGGTAAGGGAGGGGGGTGGAAGGAGGATTTGTTCATGTTCTTGAAGGAGCTTAAGGGTCAGAGAAGGGCCCTTGGAGGTATCAGATCTATATTTCACCTGTATCTATAACTGTATCTCATCTATGTATTTATAGAACTAGACATATGTGTATATGTCTTTATATGTACATGTGTGTGAATGTGTGTTTATATACTTGTATATATGTGTATTTATGTATATATATGCATACACACATACATATCTCTATATATCTGTTGATTTATATCTATGTACCATTGTCTTTCTCACTTTCTCTTCCTCCTCTTCTCTTTTTTCTTCTCTTCCTCCTCCTCCTCTTTCTCCTCCTCCTCCCCCCTCCCCTCCCCTTTTCCCTTCTTCTCTTCTCCCTCCCTTCTCCTCCCATTCTTTTCTCTCTCTGTGTCTCTGCCTGTCTCTGTCTCTGTGTGTCTCTGTGTCTCTGTCTCTGTCTGTGTCTCTGTCTCTCTCATATCTCTTTGACCTTAGAGGGCTAGGAGAGGTTACTTCCATAGCATGTAAGTCTCTTGAGGGAGAAGGGTTTCTTTTTGCTTTATCCTTGCGCCCCCACAGGCTAGCCCAGTGCCTTGCACATAGTAGGGATAGGGTGAGGGACTTGCTATTTCACTGGTATGGGGAACTCAGCATATTCTCTGCAATGTATGGTCTTAGAAGGTTTCACTGAGAAGTGAAGCTACTTGGCTAAGGTCGCCCAGCCAGGGTAGGCCAGAAGTCAGTCTCGCACTCAGGTCTTCCTGACCTCATGGCCAGCCCTCTCCATTAGGTCACTCTGCCTCTCATTGCTTTCACTTTAATAAGTGCAGAAAGAATCAAATTACTTAGTGTGGAAAGTTCTAGGGAGACCAGGGGATCAAGGCTGGGTCTAGAGATGAGAACCCAGGGTACATCACAGGTAGCAATCGGTGTGGTCATTCTCTTCTCCAGTTACAGCCCAGAAGATCTATTCCTGAAGGGTAGATTTGAGGGTTATCTCTGACTATCCATTCCCAAGTTACCTTTCTACTTCCCTGGTAAAGCTCAGGAGTTTCATTGCACCTAGTAGGGTTTTTTTTAATTAATGGTGATAAGAGACTGGGCAGGCAAGCTGCAGCCTTGGAGCCTGGGGCTTTTGAAAGCTGTGGGGCTGGGGGCACTGGGGAATGGGAGGCTAAGGTCTGGGGACTTGGGGACAAGGTCAAAGGGTGTTGAAGACCTTGGAATTAGAGGCTGGGGTTTTAGGCTCTGACAGTAACTGGGGAGGGTTAGAGTATGAATTCTCTGAAGACAGAGACTATTTGGATTTTGTCTTGTATCCTCAGTGGTTAGCACATGACCTGGGACATGGTAGGTACTTAATAAGTGCATGTTGACTGATTGATCTGGACCCCCTAGAGGAAATTCCTTAGTCACTGGCCAACTGTCCTTAGGAAATTGAAAGATGGTGCCCAGCCAAGAGAATCCTAGGACACAAAGGATTGATGTAGCAAGTGGACCAAGGCTGGGCTCAGGAATTATTGTCTTCCGCACGCCTAACCAGACCCCACCTGAGTCAATTTTATCATTATCATTTGTAGGACATTTCCAGTGTGAGGATTCTCTTTCCCAATACTGATTGGCAACTTGTAAAGCTTTAGGGATAGCACTAATGATTCAAGTGGCTCACCAGGCCCATAGAGTCCAATGTATCAGAGGGAGGTCTTGAACCCAGATCTTCCTGACTCTGAGGCCAGCTTTCTACTCACTAGGCCATACTACCTTTCATCTGGGTCAGTAACTCACCATCTTGTAAAAACTCCTTGGGATCAGGTGTTATTAGATGAACTTTCACCTTGGAGCTCCTTTAGAGCCCTTCACATACCTCTTTCCCCAGGGGCCCCACCAAAGGACCACAGCCACCCGTAGCTTCCTAATGAGGGTGTCACATACACCCCGTAGTCCATCTTGTACAGTTGGGTTAGAAGACCACTATCCCTAGAACTGGAGACTTCTAAGATGTCTGGCTCTCCAGAGCACTTGCTATGGTCTTTTCAGTAGATGTGTCATTACTGAAGATACATCACCATCAGCTTTGCCTTTACACTCTAAGGACTATGGTACGTTCCCATTCAGCTGATTTCCACCTGAAACTTCTACACATTTCTCCCCCTTAATAGAACATAAGCACCTTGAGAGCAAGGCTTGTCTTTTCTCTTTGTATCTCCCCATGCTTTTTCATCTATCTATTTGATAAAAACTGTTAGGAAGCTTAGGACTCCACAAAGTCACCAGCTGTCCTAACCCACCATATCCCACTATCCCTTTTCACACTGTCTACAACCCTAGAAATGTTTTTGTTTTCATACTTCCAATCCCTAATGCAGTTCCTGGCACGTAGTAGGTGCTTAATATATACTTGTCCAATTGAATTGAATTGGTAAGCAGCAACCAACCTGCCTCAGATTCCTTAGCTCCCCCCGCGCCTCCCTCCCCCCCCCCCGCCCCGGCAGAGACACAGAGTCAGTACCATCATTACGGTTTTTTTTTTCCAGCTTTATTTAGGAAACACAGTAAATGTTCCAGTATAAAATAGCAGGGTGGCATAGGTAGAGGTAGAAAGCAAGCAGACTGACAGGTATGCTTCAAGGCATCATCCCAGGAGAGAATGAGGGCCTCCCACTGGACTCAGGTCTGGGGTCTCTACTTGGCATCTGCCCCTTCTGGCTTCTTGGCATCGGCACCTCCGATTTCAGCACGGGATTCAAAGGTGACCGGGATGGTGACTTCTGCTGACTGGATGGCAGGCTTTGGAAGAGGGGCTTCCACAGACAGTGTCCCATCAGGGGACAAGGAAGACACAACCAAAGTGGCATCCACACCAGGGGGCAGGCTGAGAGAGAAAGGACAGAGAGGTGTGAGGCGCAAGGCCATTGCTAGGGAAGCCAGGACTGCCTGTCAGGAGCTTGGGGAGGCCAGGCCCATGTCTTCTCTCACTTTTAGATTTCCTCTAGTCCCAGCAGAGTGTTTTGTTTACCATAGGCGTCTAACATAGGGTTAGGGAGTGGATTCGGGATTTCATTGGTATAGGAATCTCTGGGTGAAGAAACATTGCTAATAATTTAGGCTGACCCCTCCTCTGAACCTTAAAGTTTTAGAGAGTTACCCAAGACATTGAGAAATTAAGTGACTTACCCAGGGTCACACAGCCAGAATGTGTTGGAGGAGAGGATCTTGAACCCCTGTCTTTCTGGCTTCAAGGCTAGCTTTCTGTCCAGTGTGGCGCACTACCTCTCCAGACTCCAAATATATGGAGCCTCTTTTTTGGAGGGGCATGGTTGGCGTTTCTGAGCCCTTAGCTCCAGTACTGAGTCCCTATCTCTAGCAAAGCCTCCATCCCCATCATAGGGACCCATTTATACTCATAGCTTTACCCCAAAAAGAGACCTTTCAGGTCATCTAGCTCAATTTTTAAAGTTCATGAAACTGGGACTCAAATCAAGTAACTTTTCCGGGGTCACACAGCTAACAAGTGGCAAAGGTGAGATTTGAATTCACATCTTTCTAACCTCCAAATTCAGCACCATGCTTTCCCTCTAACCCTGGGTCCAGAAGCGAAGAACAAAGGATTAGGCACACACTGAGACTCAAGGCCCAGACTATTGCCACCAGACCCTTCCATCAGTCTGGAGTGGGTCTGTAGGGGGAGGGGTGAACATGGGAGGGGGAAGTAGGCATGGTTGGGAATAAAAGGGGGTATGACTGGGAATTGAAGACCTGTCCCCAAGGGCTAACTCCCTCTCCCAATACTCACGTATATTTCCTGGTAAAACATCTGGAGATGAATCCATGCTCATCTTGTCTCTCCTCATGTTTGCCTGGGGGAGGTGGGAGAGAAACAAATGAAGCCTCTGGAGCCTCTGGGAGACACACAGTAATACCATCCACCCTCTCTCCCTGGCTGTTCTGCCATAGAATCGCATTAGAGACCATCATTTAATAGAAGAGGAAATAGAAGCCCAGAGAAAGGAAATGACTCTTTCCAAGATTACACAGCAAATAGCAGAACCAAACTTTTGAACTCAGAACCTCTGGCTGAAGATTCAGTGTTTTTCCACAACCCTGTGAGAATTCCCTTCTCTTGACTGGGGAGTTCTTGTTGGAGGGGTCCTCCCCATTTACCGCACATTATGCCACTGCCTGAAGGGGTAGGGGTGTGTGGCCATCCAAATGCCAGTGAGGCTTTTGAAGAGGGATATGAAGTTTTCTTTGAAGCTTTCAGTAATGGAAGGAGCCGGAAGTATCCCCAGCCTCTAGGGCTGAGAAGTTGGAGCCAGGCATGGGAGTTTAAATGGGGCTGCACAGCCCTGGGCAGAGCCAGAATCAGAAGGTTCCAAAGGCAGGCAGATGTTCGGGTTCAGAGCAAAGGAGGGGTTTCAACAGTGCTTAGTACAGCACCTGGCACACAGTAGGCACTTTATAAGTGCTTGTCCACTAGCTTTCCTCCTAATGTTTAATGGGGAAAGCATGACAATCTGCTGAAGGAACTGAGACTCAGCCCTGCAGGGGGCCTGGGGGTGGAGTTTGAGCCTAGCATTTCTGAGCCAAGCCCCATCTAGGTTCCTTCCTCCCTCATGTGCAGCAGCAATAAACATGTTTTCTCTCTGCAAGTCCAGGCAGAGGACAGTGTGTGCCAGCTTCCTTCAGGATGAGGGTAGGAGGGAAGGATGCTGGGAGGGGGCTGTGACTAAGGCCCCCTGATTAACCCATCACCTCCTGCCGCAGAGTCTGGGGTAGCCAGCCCTGCTACCCAGCCCCAGACCCCCATGCCCTGCCCTATCCCAGGACAGCCAGCAGCTGATAGCATTTGCAATATTCTTCCTCTGAAGGTTCAGGAGGAATGCTTCCCCCCTCCCCCCAAGCCTCCCTTCCCCTTAAGCCCATAGCCAGGGCTATCCCCCATCTCTACCCCCTAAACTTGGCCCCCTGGGTAGGCAGTAATGCCCAGGGGCAAGATGGAGAAATGGGGCAAGGTGCTGGGATGCCTGCTCACCAGTGATCTCTACCACGCCATCTTTGGTCTTCACAGTCAGCTCCTCAGGGGCGAAGTGGTTGACATCAAGGGTCACCCGCCAACGGTCAGCTGTGTGCTGGATCTCTGACATCCCTCGGCTCAGCTGCCTGCTGAGTGCTCGGCTATAGGCCTGGCTGGCAGGGGGTGGGGGTACCAGGGGCCCAGCGGCAGCGGCAGCGGGAATCTGCTCAGCCACAGGGCTGGGCAGCAGCCGGACATAGCCTGGCCAGCTGGTGTGGCTGGGCCATTGACACCAGTCTTCTGGAAGGCGGGGTAGCCCGAAGGACTGGTCGAAGAGGCGGCTGCCGGCTGGGTACCAGTCCCTGAAGGGATCCCAGCTGGGGCTTCGGAGAAAGGTGAAGGGAACTCGTCTCTCAGTCATGTTGAATTCTCAGCGGTAGGTGGGTAATGCTCAGTACCTACAACTCTCCCCTGGAGCTCTGGGACTGAGTGTCTAGGCTGGGCTGGCCCCGGCTATAAAGAGTCAGAGCCAGTTATTTTTAGCAGGCAGTCTCAAGACTCTATTAATGGTAATTACACTGGGGCAGAAAGCCTGGGGGGCGGGAGCAGGGGGGCCGGGCTAGGACAACGTCCACCCCCTTAGATTCCTTGGGGAGGGAGAGAGAAGAGGAAAGAGAGAGGGAGAAGAAGTCCAAGTCCTGCCCCAGACCTCGAACCTTCTTCACTCATCTTTCTGGAAAGTGAAGGAAGGAAGAGGGGAAGGTGGTGAGAGGCTGGGTGTTGGGTGGGGGAGAGAATGTCCTCTATCATCCCCGATTTCCCAGGCACTTGGGCCAAGACCCTGCCCAGGGTACAGCGAGTACAGGTTTAGCTGAGTGTCCCAGGGAACAGGGTGTGACTGGGTTGCCCCTATTCCTATCCCTCAAGGGGGTGGCTCCCCCCCCATTGCCCAGAAAAGGTTGCAACTTTGCCAGGGACACACAGAACAGGGAGGGCTTGAACCAGGAAACTTGTGGCTTCATGAAGTTTAGAGCTGGAAGAAACCTTAAAGCCCCTCTTCCCATTTTGCAGAGGAGGAAACTGAGGCTCTAGGAGTTAGCTGCTCACCCCATTATAAATTATCAATAATAGAACCATGTTACTCTTAACTCTATACCCTGATAGGAGGATACCTGGGGAGGAGAGCAATACAAAGGGAGTGAGGAGTGAGAAAGACATAGGACTGTGCTCTGGTTCATTAACTTTAAAAAGCCTCAGCTTCGGATCTCAGCCACTTTTTCCTATTGTCCCCACCTCCTCCCTTTCTCTCCAAGGATATTTCCTTTCCTCCTTATCCTCTGCACTCACCCCCTGCCCCTGTCCATCTCCTGTCCTCAGCCCCTACCCCTGCCCAGGCTTGAGTTAGCTCTTAGCTTCTTTGGCTATCCCTATGACATGACCCTAATCCCTCACAAAAGGCACACACTTCCCAGGGAAGTTGGGGACCCCCAAGATCTATTCCTGTGAAACATAGCAAACACCCCAGTATAAAATGGCAAGAGAGGTGGGGCAGGGATTGGGATAGTCTCTATCAAAGAGACAAAGAGGCAAAGTCTTCCATTTTTCAAAGCCTTAATTTGTCTCTGTGGATACTCTATGGAAAGAACTCCCTAAAACCTGAGGTTCAGATCTTAGCTCTGATATAATATCTGTGTGACCTTGGGCAAGTCATTCACCTGCTCAGACCTCAATTTTCTCATTTGTAAAATAGCCAGACAGCCTCTGAGATCACTTCCAGCTCTAGAGTTAAGCTGCTATGAAGGGCTCCAGCTCCCCCACTCCCAATCCTTTGGGGTCTCAGTTTCCTCATATTTAAAATGAGGGGTTTGGACACTTAAATGACCTCAGAAGTCCCCTCCAGTAGTTATGATCCTATGATCTGGTGACCTCTAAGTTCTATGTAAGATCTAAATCTCTGCTCCTATTACTCATCAGTGTCTCCCCCCCTCCCATCCCCACCCCACCTCTAGGTCAAGGAGAACTGGAGAAATAGGATGAGTGAGCTCAAGCCTGTAAAAGGCTCCAAGCTCAGAGATGAGACAGATGATTGAAACCCACACCAGGTCCCTTCCCAAGGGGGCTGGGTCAAGGCTGGTGAGATCACACCTATAAAATGCTTTGAGCAATCTGGAAGAAAGGGAGCAGAAGGGTAGAAAATACACACAGCTTACGGGCAGGCCCTCATCTCCCCACTGCCCCAGATCTTTTCCAATTTTGGAAGACAAGAATAATCAATCCAAAGAGAGAAAACAAAATAATCCCAGCAGGATTCTTCTATGTGAATTGTTCCCACTGACTCTCTCCTCCTACCACCAGGTTACTCCAGCCAAGGGAGGGCATCAGACAATGTTAAGTTGAAGGGTAGAGGAGGTGAGCCCTGGAATCTTTAAACAATGGATAAGGGTGTTTGTGGATGCCTTTTTTTTTTTGAGGCAATCGAGGTTAAGTGATTTGCCCAGGGTCACACAGCTAGTGAGTGTCAAGTATCTGAGGTCAGATTTGAACTAGTCCTCCTGATTCCAGGGCCAGTGCTCCATCCACTGCACCACCTAGCTGCCTCCTGTGGATGCCTTTGTATTTCCACTGAGCAAGCTCCTCTCCTGCCTCCTCTTTTGTCCAAGCCTCTTGGGACGGGACGAGCAGGGACGAAGGGTCAGGAATTCTGATCTGCTTCTATGCAGCTTGGCTCTTGGCTCTCCCAAGCCCCACCCAACCATGTTTTCTGAAAAATAGGTGAGATCAGAAACCACAGGGAGTGTCAATCTTCCCTGCTCACCTTGTCCCTGGGTGGGGTCTGGGAGTCTCTCCTCTTTGGGAGAAGGAAGCTGTCAGCTTCTGGACCTCTTTCAAGTTAGAATCTCAAAGCCTTTTATACCTCTTGACAAACGCCCAGCTGTGTTCTGTGGGTGTGGGCTTCAAACCACTTGACAGGTTAAATCTCCTTTCATCCTCCCGTCCCCTTGTCTTTGAGAACTGTACCCACCCTGGAAACCAAGGGAAGGTCACACAGCTGTCAGTGGCTAAACTAGGATTAGACCCAAGAGTCTGCATCCCTTGAACCTGTTTGTCCTTTGTCCAACCTGGTCCATTCCTCCAAACTCATGCCCTCTCCCCAAAACCTCCATGAATTGGGGATATCTTGACTGTAGATAGATTTGTTCCAGCCACCTCCTAAATCCCTGGCTGTAGTAGGTGAGTTCTTCCTTGAGAGTTCTCCTTGGTCAATACTCACCTCTCTTCCATCAAGAACAAGACTAGGTCCGAGTGTAGACCAGGCTCTAGGTGTAGGCTGGAGCCCAGAGGGAGAGAGTATAGAAAGGACATTTAGAGAAAGAGAGGAGGGCCATTAAGGACAACAAAAGGATCAGTTCAGAGCTAGAGCCTTGAGGAAGTAAGCCACCACTGGGGTCACACTGGACTCTGAGGAGTGAACTTGGAGGGACATGAATCCGAGAAAAAACTTTCTCCAATACTTTGTGTCTGTGACTGCCTGCCATGGAAATAGTCTGCCCATGTGCCGTGAAGTCATCAGTCCAACTAGCTTAGAGTCATCTGCTCCAACCTCTCATTTTACAGAGGAAGAAACTGAGGCTAAGAGCAAGAAAGGGACTTGCCCTAGGTCACACTGTGACTTAATGAGAGAATTGGGAAGAGAGTCCAGGTAGCAGCAGAAAAGATCTTGGAGGAGGAGAGAGAACTAGGTAGGAATTTCAGCTCTGTCATTTGCTAGCTGTGTGCTCCTGGGTAAATCACTTCCCCTCACCAGTGCAATCTGGAGGTTGGACTAGGTAGCCTCTAAGCTGATCTGATCCTGTGATGACTTCCCAGCTCTAAATTCTCTCATCCTATGAGCCTTGGTTTGCTTCTCCTATTCTGCCAGGTCCTGGGGTGGGGGGGACACTAACAAAAATACAAGGATTGAGCAGGCAGCAAAGTGAACTGTGCTCCCATGGCCAAACTCGGCAGTCCCCCTTCCCCAGCTAGCCCAGGACTTGGCCTCTCATCTCACACTGCCTTCCGGGGTCCCTCTGAGTCATCCTCGCTTCCTCATCTCCTTTTAGAGATTGGGCTGCTCTAAGATGAAAAGCTTTCTGGGGCAGAGAGGGTGCTGGGCATGTTTGGAAAGCCTGGTTTGAATCTGAAACTGAAAGTGGGGCCCTGGGCAGGTCATAGGAGCCAGAGCCAGATGGGAGTGCAGAAGCCATCTAAGCGATCCCATTCTACGGATGAGGAAACTGAGACTCAGGAGGGTTGCATAACTTGCCTACGGTCACACAGGAGTGAGCAACCTCAGTTTTCTCATCTCTAAAGTGGGATACTAGTAGCACAGCGCATCTAAGGTTGCTGTGAGACTCAAGAATTCATAACGAATCATTATAACAATGTCTATAATTATTATTAGCAGTTTGGAGGAATGGGTAGAGAGCTGGCCTTGGGGCCAGGAAGATATGGGTTCAAGTCATCCCTCTAACACATCCTGGCTGTGTGACCCTGAGCAAGTTATTTAATCTTTAGGAAACTAAGACTATATACTTCAAAGAAGGTGTTGACCTGCATTGGTGGAGAGACTTTCTTCACCTGGGAGTTCCCCATAGCAATGAATTCCTACAGGGTCAGTCTCTATCCCACGATTATTATTACATATCTTCTAGGAGAGAACCCTAAACTGGAAGTCAGGAGACCAAGGTACCAATTCCAGCTTTGTCACTAATGCCATGTGTGACCTTGAGCAGGTCACTTGCCTCCTCTTGGTCCCGGTTTCTATCTCTGCACCAAGTTCAATGCTCTCTTTCTTCCAAGTTCAATGACATTTTCCCAACATCGAACTGCCTTTATGTAAATTGAAGAGATTGCATTAAATGATGTCTAAGGCCCCTGGATTTGGCTGGGACATTCTACTCTAGTAGAGGCAGTGTGGTGCCGTAGAGAGCAAGCACTGGCTTTGGACACAGGGCTCGTGTTTCCAGTTCCCCTCTGACCCTTTCCATGTGTGACTTTGGGCCCCTGTTTTGGGCCTCAGTTTCCTCATCTGTAAAATGCTGGGGTTGGACTAGATGACCTCTGAGGTCTTTTAGGACTCTAGCTTTCTGATTCTAATACCTACAAGGAGGGAGAGATTTTTCAAAACAAAACAGAACTGTGGCTTCCAAAAAATTACTTTGTTTTGTTGTTGAGAAAGGCAGCCCAGCTCTAAAGGCTTTCCTTAGGAAAGCAAAGGCACAGTCACCCCTGCCACCTACTACAGCTCTGGGGATGGCAGTGAGGAGGGGGCCTGCAGATTGGGTGGGCTGGGGCTGTGTCAACCCCCGTCCCTGACTGTTTCGCGTGTGTGAGAGTAGGGGGAGGAGAATTGGGAGCGGTGGTAAACATACTTCAAATGGTGCCTTATGACCACAGACAGTTTAGGAGAAACCACTGTGCTCATAGTCAAGGTCTCGGGGACCAGGCCCCATCACGCCCTCTCCTGCACGATCAGATTTATTTATCTGATGGCAATACTGTTGTGCACACCCCCTTCCCCCAATTTCATGAGTGGCAGGTGATCCAGATGCTAATGACAACTTGTGAGATGCCTGCTTGCCAAGGACATCGTCAGGGGAGAGCAGACCCAAGAAAGGCAGTGGGCTGAGCCTGAATTGAGGCTTTTGGCCTAAGTGGCGTTACGGTCCCTTCCACTTCTAGATCTGAGATCCTTAGGCCCTTTGACAACCTCGGGGCTGCAGGGCACCCGGTGCTCCAGAGGAACCATGTGGAGTGGTCCACTTTTGGTGGGGAACTGTGACCAAGGGTATGTGTGTGGGGGGAGATGGCATATGCCCCGGAGAGAGTGCCCATCTGGGGGAGTCATGAATCCACCCAAGGAAAAAAACACTCTCCTCCACCTCTCCAGCTCTGGCAGGGTCCCTGCAGCACCATGAGTCTGAGCCAGAACCCAATCCTCAACCCCCTCTCCAGGACTTAATTTCTTCCACTTGGCGCAGCTCCTGAGGCTACCCCCTGGAGGGGCCAGCAGGAGTTGGGTGGGATGGGGCTGGACCTTGGAGCCCCAAAGCCCCAAGCGGGGAGACAGTCACCCAAGGGGGCAGTGGGGCGGGGCGGTTTCCCCAAGGCAGGTTCCAAGAAATCTCTTTTTCATCTCTGCCCCTCCCCTGGCCCAAGGGAGAAGATTCTCCTCTCAGAAAAATAGCATTTGATGGGCCAAGCAGTACACCAGTCCTGTGTCTGGGGACCATCAAGGGGGCAGTTTTTCAGGAGATTGAGTCCGAGGAACCTCCATCTCCACCACACTACCTGGTGCAAGGGAATAGACAGAAGACTGAGAGATAGGAGACCACTGGGAGTGGCCTCAACCCAGACTCAGTTTCCCCATCTGGAAAACAAGGAGGTTGGACAAGATGAGCTTCAAGGCCTCTTTCCAGCTTTCTCATTGGATGGTTCAGTGTCCTGGATCCTTTCCCATACCTCCACCCCCAACCCCAGCCTGCTGACTCACGTTGCATCAAATATTAAAGGAGGGGGTGGGGCAAGATTGGGAATAGTGGGGCCAGCAACTTCTGTAGCTGCTGAGGGAGACCTTGAGGGCTGGATCCTGCCCAGCCTAGGGCAGAGCCTCCCCTCCCCTAGCCTTTGAAGATGAAAGGGAGAGGGAAGACACGTAGTCCATTTCCCAATCAATCAATACGCACTTATTAGGGGGATAGAGAGACAAAAATGAAAGCCGAGCAGAGGTCTGACTGAGTCTGTACAGCCTAGCATTCATTAGACTTTTCCATTAGACTATACACGACTGAATTCTATCCCCAGGGCTGAGCTTCCTTTCCTGAAATCGAGTCCTCTATCCCTGACACTGAGCCCCCATTCTGGACATTGATTCCGCATCCCACACAAGGTACCCGTGTGCCTGTTCCTGAACCGTCAGCCCCAGCACTGGGGATGTCTCTGATAGTGAGTTTTCAGATTCCTGACACTGAGCCCCCATACTCATTACCGACTCCACCTTTCCATGTCCAGCAGGGAGCCCCTCTTCCTTAAATTGAGCTCCCCATCTCTGTGTTTAATCTGCCTCAGAGACTTGACAAATTTCATACTCTTTTCCTCAGAGACTTTGAGGGAACAGAAGAAACCCTCACTCACATTTTCAAAGTCTCTGGCCCCTGGGCAACCCTCAACTCTTAAATGCAGTGTGCTATTAGAGCCACTGCAGCCTCAGCACTGCCCTGAACTTATCCAGCCCTATCCCAAGTCAACACCTGAAGTCCTTGCTGCCTCCTCCTGTTAGAACTTGGCATCGTCAGCCGCTTCCCATGCATTGTTCTCCCTTAGGACAACACAATCTGACTGCCTGCATCATCAATGGAAGCCCCTACCCAAGACGGTAATCTGTGCTCTCAGCCCTCCCCTCCTTCATCCTGGGCCTCCACCACTCTCACTGTTGCACCTGGAGCAACAGTCCAATCCCAGCAGTCAGGTAGGTAACAATGCCTAGCATCCTGTTGCTTAGCAATGGTGGATGCAGTCCTTGACTACCGTGGGAAGGTGGGAGAGGGAGATGAGGAAACTGATATATGTAAGGCACTATAAGTAAATGGAGATGAGGGGCAGATCTGGTCTGGGGGGCTAGATTGCTCTCTCAGAGAATAAGAAAAGGGAAGGGGGAAGCTGCCACATCCCCATTCCCTAATGGAAAGGGGACATTTCAAACTACTCTTCATTAAGCTATGGGGGACTCAAAAAGCCCAACAAACACCGAACTACTATGTCAAGCCTGGAAATAGGGCGTCCCCCTTCCCCATTCCCTGGACACAGCCTCCAGGTTTGGTTATGACAGCCATCAGATCATTATTTCTCCATGTCCACAGGCTGTGAGGCTAGGGAGCCTGTGAGTCACCTGAGGATTCTTTCCCTTCCCTTGGGAACTCTCCCTCTCCTCACCCCATCTACACCCTATTGTCTAGGGGTAGATGGCTGAACTAGAATCCTGGGGGCCATGCACTTGTCTCTTCCCATGAGACATTTTCAGATTTCCACACTTCTAAGTGCCCTTTGAATTCTGAAATTGTAGTTAGTCATCTGTCCATAGTGATCGATAATGATCTATCAATATGATCCCTTCAATAGAATACTGTTTGTATAAGCTCCCTGAGGACAGGAACTGTTTGGGGTTTTTTCCCTGAGTGTGATTTCCTGGATGTAGGGAACTCCCAGGGAGGAAAATATTTTCCTCTGCATTGCATAATCTTAAAGAACTACCTCAGCCACAGAAGCTAAATGACTTGTCCAGGGTCATACAGCCAACGTGTCAGAACTGGAGGTTGAACCCAGGTCTCCCTGACTCCAAAACCAGCTCTCTCTCCATTGGGCAACACTTCCTTTAATGTAGTAGGTGCTTAATAAATGTTTATTGAATTGGACTGAAATCAAAGAGAGTAGGGCAAGCCCCATGGAGCAGCTCTGTCCATTCAGAGACACTGATGTCAGATTCTACTATTAGGAATTCAGTCCTTTGGATTCAACATTACAATCTCTCATACTTCAGAGGGAATGAAATGATCAGACTCTTTTGTCTAGATAGGTCAAACCAGGGCTATAGGAAAGGACAGGTATGGGAGAGGGGCAGTAAACATGTGAAAGGATGCTCAAAGGGAGAGTGATGGGGAAGGGCATAGGAAGAGAAGGCAGGCAGGGGTCTCTGTGACTTTATCAAGCTCCCCTTTCTGGGCCTCAGTTTCCTCATTTGGGTGTGTCTTCAGGAACTCGTTTCAGCTCTACTGCACAGAATTCTTCTCTTCCTTCAGGACTTAGTTTGAGCATCACTTTCTCCATGAAGCCTTTCCTGCTTTTCCCAACTGCTAGTGCTGTCCTGCCCCAACTACCTAGTATTTGTCTGTATTCATTCTCTTTATATTTGTTCTGTATACACTTACATATATACTTGTTATCTCCCTCTCACCTCCACACACATGCTAGAATGTAAGCTTCTTGAGTGTCTGTATTTTTTTTTCTTCATATTTTTTGTGTCTCCAGTGCCTAGCACTGTGCTTGGCTCATAGTTGGAACATGAACACTTGCTGATTGATCAGCAAAGTGAGGGGATTGGATTTGATGACCACTAACGTTCCTTCTGGAACTGACATTCTATTAAAAATTTGCTAAAAAAAAATCTTCCCCCTTTGAAAAAAATAAAATAAAAGCCAGCCCCCCACACGTGGGGAACAATTGAACGCTCACCCCACATGACCCGGACAGTGTATACTTTGTGTTTTATTGTATTCCAACCATCTCAAGGAACTACACCTCGACTCAGGATCAGAAAGAAATAAAAGAAAAATGAAAGGAAAAGCCAGGTTGAATGCCGCCTCAAAGAGGATCGACACAGAAGAGCATCCTGGCCTACCCGAGGGGACAGAGCACGGACTTGTTCTCCATATTGTGGGTCAGGTCACCCCCTCTCCCTCCCCCCCCAGATGGACACTGACTGGACTGAGGAAGACTTGGTGATATCCCTGATGCACAGCTCCGGGGAATGGGGTGGGGGTCAGAAAGGATGAGGGAGTGCTGGGGGAGTCAAGAAGGAACAAGGGGAGGTGGGGTCCCTAGGGCCCTACCCCCATGCCAGGGCCAGAGCGATGTGTGCCTGGGGTGGGGGTGGTGAGGAAGAGACCCTCTCCCCCAGAGAAAGAGCAGCAAGGGCCAGAGACCCTGACACCTAGCCTGGCAAGGTGGATAGGGTGTTTGTGGTGGGGAGAGGAGTGGTCCCGGCCTTCGAGGCCCCGGGGGAGAATAAATAAGACACAAATAAATAAATTAATAAATAAATTACATAGCAGCCTAATTCCCTGGGGGAGGGGAGTGTTGCTCACTTAGAGTAATACTGGCCCTGGAATTCACAGTCCCTTTGAGGCTCTGAGTCCAACTTTGAGAGTTCACTAGCCCCCTTCAAGTAACTGCCTCTTTAGGTCTCATTGGAATTGGAGTCATTCTCAGGCCCAGATCTAGAGTCCCCAGGGCCTGACAGATGAAAGAGATGTGTGTATATGCAGGAAAGGGTCGTCTACCCCAGAGGAGGACCATGCTGAAGGCTTAGTAGATAGAGCCAACCCAGACAAAATTCATAATGGCAGGGGATATCAGCCCTGGGGAGGGAGAAAGGACATTTTGGGTGAGGTTCCCTTCCGGAGTCCAATTGTCAGACTGATGTGGTCACTTGCACCTCCCCCACCAAATGTCCATCTCTATTCCTTGAAGTGGGAAGGTCAACTATTCCATCCCTCTGGGTACGTGCCCTTACGGCTACCTTAGGCCAAGAGCTGTGTCTCCTTTTCTGCCTTGGAATCACTAGAGGTCGCCTTTGGGTCACTCCATGAATGGCTCCGTGGCTCAATGGTCAGGGAGTCTTTCCTTTCATTTGATCTAGGTCCTACTCACTGCATTGTTGGACCATCTCTCCCAGTTGTTTCTAACCGGAATTGAAGCCAGATGCTCTCTTTTTCAAGAGCATTTCTGGACATCGAGCATTGAGTTCCCCCAAGAGAAGGCCAAAGGAAAGTCCAGATGGCTAAGGGAAAGAAAAGGTCTGAGAGAGGGAGGCAGATGTGAGGGGAGTTACCAGGCCTCGTGTCTTCTGCCAACCAAACAGGGAGGGGAAGGGGGCTGGGGATACATTCTGGGAGGGAGGGGTTTCATCTCCTTGTGCCAGCTCCCCAGGAAGTCCCCTTCCCTGTGGGGTGGGTGGCTCAGGGCAGAGTAGGGCTTCGGGGCAGGGATTGAGCTCGTCCTGTGTTCAGTGGCTCTTGGTGCTCTGGGGCAGTGCCCAACCCCAAGGAATGGAGAGGGCACCTTCTGGAAGCGATAGGATCCCGATCTTTGTCATCAGGCCTTGTGCCTGAATTGGGGAGAGGTCTCTGGGGTTCTGGGGTGCACCAACCCCATCCCCATCAGGACAGAGTTCCCCTGTTGCCAACCCAACCTTGTACAACAGGGTCAGAGGAAAAGGGGTGAGAGGATGGGGGGAGAATCTTTCCTCCCCAGTCAGGCTGAGTGCCCCCTGGGCACTCTCTGCCCTGGGGCCAATTCAGAGGGCAAGAGTCTCCATCCACCTGTTGGTTGCTCTTTTCTTCGCCCCCAAACTGGAGGGAGGAGCTCTCCCTGGTGCTGGTTTGGAGGATGACAGTGATAGATGGAATGGGTGAATTTGGCCGAGCAGGGCCTTTGGCCTGGGCTGCCCAGATACCTGGGTCCACCCTGTGGGATATAAAGAAAAATGACCAGAGCTGGCGGTGATGGGAGAGAGTGGGTATGCAGGGGAGTCTCCCCCACCCCACAGGAGAATAGCTCCACCTGCCCCTCCCCCCTGGCTGGGTCCCTTGGGCCAGGGGTAGGTGGGGGTGGGGGCTCTTGAGTGGGAGCAGGAAGGAGCAGGCTTCCAAGGGAAAGGGAGCATGGACTTCTCGGGGGTTCAGAAGCCACCGCTTTCCGAGCTGCTGCGACTGTTGTAGCTGGGGCTGGGGGCTGGGACTAGGGGTCCTGGAGGGGCTCCGGGTTCGGCTGCGGCTCCCACTTCGGCTGCTGTAGCTGTCCGGGCTGTGGCTGCCGCTCCGACTGCGGCTATAGGTGTGGCTGCTCCAGGAGCTGGAGGAGGAGGAGGAGGAGGAAGGGCTGGGCCGGTAGTAGGGGATCGGGCGCTTCCGGGCACTGCAGAGGGAAGGGAAGGACATCAGGCTCGGCGGCAGCAGCTGCCACAGTAAGCCCAGCCAGCGGGGCTGACGTGGCTGAACAGGCCTGAGCCCTTGGGTGAAGAAGCTGGGGTTGGGGGTGGGGGGAATAGGGAATCACATTTTCCATTAGAGAAAATATTTATAGGATCCTGGAGAGCCAGAGCTGGAAGAGTACTCGGATCCCCTTGAGTCTAAACCCACCCATTTTATAGATGAGGAGCCTGAGGCCATAGATGAGTAAAGTAACTTGCCAAGGTCACACAGATCTGAGGTTCAAAGTTACATCCCCTGCTTCCAAAGCCAGGAAGTATTTTCCATTCGTCTGCTCTCCCCACATTCTAAAGCTCGGCAGAGCATCACCCAATTATCTGGGCTCATTTTGTGGGAACTCAAAGAAAGTGGGAAGGGAATTGGTGGCCCAAGCCCCAAAGGCACCTTTATTTTTCAGAAGAGGAAATTGAGGCCCAAGTGGGCAAGTGACTTGGCCAAGGCCATGCAGTGGGTTCAGGGCTGGACCTATAGCCCAGGGCTCTTGAATCTGGGTCCAAGGCTTTTTCCACTGTACCAGGATGTCTTCCACCTTTCGGATCTTGGGGAAATGACCCTGTGGGCCACTCTCCTCATCCTTAGGAAAAACTAGGTCCCCAGTCTCCCTCCTCCTTCCCCTGCTTCCCTCTTAGGTGCTCAGGTGTTTTTAGAGGCTAGTCTACAGCCAGGTAGCTGTGGTTAATAGAGGAGAAAGGAATGATTAGAAGATAGCACTCCAGTTACCCCAGTTAATACAGGGAAGGAAAACACTGTGGGGTTAGTGAAGGGGAGGCAGCCTGACTTGGGAGAGGGCAGGGACAGTAATGGTCCAGTGGTCAGAGCTGGTGCCTTTCCCCACTCACAGATGGGAAAAGATAGGGCCATAGTTTGGGAGCTGGATGGAACCTTAAAGGCCTTCTAGTTTACCCCTCTCACTTTCCAGATGAGGCAAAGTTGTTCAGGGTCACAGTGGTACTAGCTTTTAGCACAGTGCCTAGTATATAGTAGGCACTTAATAATGTTTATTGACTAAGTGGAAGTGCCTGGAAGTGAACCCAGGGCCTCAGACCCCCAAACCAGAACTCTTTTTACTGTATCACATTGCCTTGGAGTTTGATTGGGAAGTCACCATCCTCAGTCTTCACACCTTGCATCTGGTGGACAGAGAGAAAGTGAGGCTTGGGATGGGGAGTCCTTCATCCAGGAGAGATACCAACAGGGGGGCCCTAAGTCCCAGTCAGTTCTGGGGATGGGGGGGTGGTCCCAATTCATAATTGGCATCTAACCAAGCCATTGATTGCTTGGATTTCAGGACAAGCACTGACATTTAGACTTCTTATCTCATCCCAGGGGTGAGGGACAATTCAAGGGGTTTCTGAAGGAATCCATGTCCAAAGGGCTAGGCTATCCCTGCCTTTAGCCTGAGCAGGTAGCTGGGATCATGTCAGCTGCTTTCCCCTTGTAATAGACCTCCAGAGAAATATAGTGGTAAGGCTTGGGAGGGGGGAAGTGGAAGGAGGGAATGGCATGTGTGGAGCTTGAAAGAAAGGGAGACCCTCCTAGCCACCAGATCTTGTTTTCCTCCCTCCCCCGTCCTCCCCATCCCCTCCCTCTGCCCGTCCCAATTCCTAGAGATGACTGAAAGCTAGGCAGAAAGGTTAGTCTTGTCAGAGGCAGACAGACAGACTGAAAGAGCTGAACACCTCACACAGGGATTTTCCAGGCAGCCCTCAGGGATGGGGGAGGGTCCTGGTGGAAGGTTACCATGGTAACCCGGCTGGTCCCCCCTCCCCCATCCTGGCCACAGCTTTTCTCCTCATGGAACCTTGAGATGGAAGGGAAAAAAAAGAAGTCAACTGGGGAATGGGGCCCTAGGGGTGACTGGGAGGAGTCTTACCTCACCTAGCCCTGCTGATAAAAGAAAGGCTGGCTAACTTTTCCAACCCTCTTCTGCAGACAGCCCTTGAATCCATAGGATTCAATGCTGCACTTCTCTCTCTCCCACATACTCCCTTGCCCATCAGTGTTAACATGGAACCTTGAACCCTGATATTCAGCCCCCATCTTGGACATTAAGCCTCTTCCCCAGCACCCCACCATCATTCCCAGCACAGAGCTGACACTGGGCTTCTGTCCTTGACAATGAACTCTGATTCCTGACCCTCAGTCCTCATCCCTGGCACTGACCCCTTGTCTTTGACACTAAACCTCCACTGCTGACATTGAACCTCTATCCCAGAAATTGAGCCATCATGGAGTCTTGGTCTCCAACCCTGAGCTGAGCTCTCAACTCTGACACTGAATTACCATCTCCATCAGAGCCCTGATTCTTGACATTGGTCAGTGAACAATGGGCTCCTATCCCCATCCCTGACCTTGTGAGGTCAAAAACATTTTCTCTGCAGCTTTCAGGGATTCAGATGAATTTTTCATTCTTATTTTCCAAGATCAGGCACTCAAGGCAGGTCCCTTTTGCACTGAGCCCACGGCCATGGCCACAATACCTGTACCTTTGATCAGGGTCCTCATTGGTCAGTGACCATCCCCTCTCATCCCCACCTTTGGGCCCCTACCTGGTTATCCTCCTGGGCTCCATGAAACTAGGTGAGTCCCGACGCCTCTTACGAATAGGTGAGTAACTCCGGGACCGCCGCCGGGGCCTAGTAGCTTCCCCCTCTGGGTGCCTTGTCCGGCCATCACCTTCCTTCTCTCTGAAACAGACAGGCTCACATTAATTGGAATTGATACAACCCTCAGGCCAGACCTTAGGATTTCCAAGTTCTCTTTCCCCCGTCCCTCCCATACAATCTGCTTCCCTTCTCTCATCCTGATACTCTTCCATAGACCCTGTGATACACAGGCCTTCCAATTTCCAAAGCTCCCAAGCTTCAGGGCTGCCTTCCCTGTGTGACCATGGCCATGCCTGCTGCACGCACCCTCACCATGGCCCTGCTAGACACTTTCAGTAGAAGTTCTCTGTTTGACCCCTACCCCCACCCCCCACACCATGCAGGGGCTTGCCATCTTATGATTTTCTTCCATAGAGGAGCAAGGTCCAGGGATTGGGACCTAGGATGTACCCCGTCTCTGTGCCAACACCAAGCTTGGAGGGCAACCAGGCCTACCTGGGGAAGGCACTTTATCACACTGAGGGGTGTGTATGGGGGGGAATCAGGTGCCTTTTCCAGGAGGCCCAGAGGGACTCCGGACACTAGGTCATTGCTTACAGTTGAAGTCTTTAGCTTGGGAGAGACTTTGAGCACCTAGTCATATGGCAGAGGAAAAACCTGGAGCCCACAGAGGGTAGATGTATTCCCAGGCTCACACAGGTCAAAAGTCTTGGTGCTAGAATTCAGTTTCAGTCTTCAGATTCCAAATTCATTGGGCTCTCTCCACTCTATCACTCAGTAAGTGATACAGACTGGGTCAGCTAGATGCTGACTAAATCTGCTTGATTCTGGGAAATGTGACTGCACAAGCATTAGCCGGTCTCATTCTGTGGGGGCCTCAGTTTTCCCAGATGTAATGAAAAGTGGTTGGATTCATGACTTTTCAAGTACCTTCCAGATTCTGTGATCCTTACCAGCTAATGGTACAAGGATGCTCCAGGTCACTAACTTGGGAACCTCTCAGAACCTTCTCAGTATATGCCCAGCCTCCTTGCCAATAAGCATAAGAGGATTCCTCAGAGCTAGAAGGGACCTGAGGACCATTAAGGCCAGACTCTTCATTTTACAGTAGGCCCATTAACTGAGGCCCATTGAGGTGCAGTGATTTGCCCAAGGTCACACAGTAGCGAGTCAAAGAGCTGGGATTTCAACCCAGGTCCTTTAGACTCCAAATCCACTTTCTTTCAACTGTGCCACGATGTGCTTAGGAAACTGGGCCTCATTTGAAGATCCATCTAAGAAAAGTGTGTAACCAGGCTAGCCTGTCTGCTCAGTGACCTGCCATCTATAGTCTAAGGGCTAAGGAGAATGATTTTTGATCATCCAGAGTTTCATTCTACCCTGTTGGTGGAACTGAATAACTGGGAATTCAGTGGAGTGTGGTGTGTGTGTGTGTGTGTGTGTGTGTGTGTGTGTGAGAGAGAGAGAGACAGACAGACAGACAGACAGACAGACAGAGACAGAGAGAAACATAGAGATAGACTTGGGGAGAGAAGAGGGGAGGACAGAAAGAGAGGGATAGTGACA